TCACTTAAGCAAAGTCAAACTTGCTTAAATTAGTGTGGATTAGGAGTAAGAAACTACAAGCCTGGCAACTGCCTTTGATTCATGTACATTTTTTAGACACTCTCGATTTTTATTCAGAAATCCTTGGGTCTAGTTATTACTAGGGTGCCCAACCTTGTTCCTATCTCAGACGAGGCATAGCATGCACAGGCTTCCCTGTGCACAGTTATATCTGAGCATGCAAATGACTCATGCACCTGGTGGGCCTTCCTAAGGTGTCACTTTCCAGTCACAGTAACTCATTGACACCTATTTCAAGAGAGTCTAATGGCATTCTTAATTAGAGATGAAAATGTGTTTCTTGAAAATAGTCAACAGTTCAAAAATTTTTCTTACTCAAAATGACATTCCTTTACACTTAGTACTTTTCTTTTTTGGGTTTTCACACAGGTGATGACAACCCTATGTCAGATAGAATTTCTAAAAGGAAGTGCTACTGGTATTCTCTAAAATCTAGTCTAAATCTTAAAACAAAAATGCATATCCATAACTATAGTGATATATAAGTGATCCTTTGGGAAAGGATGATTAAATATTAGATTGTCTGGAGAAAAAAAGAAAGAAAAACAAAAATATTTCTTCAGGTCTAGATAGAAAAACAGCAGTTTCCAGACTCACACTTATACTAGGGAAAGTTGATCCTAGCCTTGCTCTGGAAGAACTGTCTTCTGACCTTTGAAAAGGTTGAATCTCAGGTACAGAATAAATACATACCTTTTCACACATAGGGTGTTTGAACAGAGAACACCAGCATATTCAAAATGCCTATTTGTGGCAAATCAGTTTTTTATTTTATATTTCCTAAACAATTCAGATCACTGTTTCTCTGTCAAAATATCTGGTGGAAAGAAGCATGCCCCCATACAATTAATGCTACCTTTAATAATCTGTTAGGAAATCTTCATGTGTTAAACTCAGTGATTTCCAATTATTATAGCATTGCCCATATTATTTTATTTTTTTAACATTGCTTCTTTCTCATGGAATACACCCAGATATGTGTCTCCTATAAATATGTCTCTTATAAATATGGTGAGAGTTGTTTTTTTTTTTTTAATTGAGAAGAATTAAATGTAATATTGCTCTGAGAATTTCAATGCCTTTCTTACACAGTTGATACTGCCCTCAGATAAAGGGAAAGCACATCTGGAGTCAAAGTCATGTGACATGCAGTCCTGCTGCAAAACCCAGCCATCTACCCCCAACCCGGCAGTTCCTCCCCAGTTTCAAGTGTGTCAGTTCAAAGGCTGGGGATTCAGCAGGGTCCCCTGCCAGCTGGGGACCAAAGAATAGCATCCACTGGACTAGAATTATTTTTCATATTATCTTAGCATACTCTTACTAAAGTTATTATGTTACAAGAGTTTGTGATTAAACAAAGCAAAAACAAAACTTTTTCAAGAACAAGATCACGCAAAGATTTCACAAACAACTGTGCAGTTAAATTTCTATTCAGATGAAGAATAGAACTATCTGAGCACATTGGATTGCCTCTTAACCAGACTCCTGTCAGGGATTCCAGGCCAGATCAGATTCTTGGCATCAACTGGAATGGATGTTATTCTGACAAACTGGCTCAAGAGGAAGCAAAATTGAAGGACTTTTTTTTACTCTTTGAAACATAAACATTTGAATGGCATTGTAAGCCAAAATATAAAAGGATATTTGGACTATACATACATACATATATATATATATATATATATATATATATATATATATATATATGCCTCCATACAATTATGGGGGCATATATAGAGAGAGAGACTCAATTTACTGAAAAAAAGAAGTACCTAAATGTGAACGCTGGCAAACATGTTCAACATTCACAGATATTTATTGAGCACCTTGTCAGTGCCTGACTTTGCTCTAGATTCTTCTAATTATCTCTAAACAGAATATGTGAAAACATCAGTCCTCCTTGAGCTTATACTTGAGTGGGATGTAATAGACGGAGGTGTAAATGATACTCTGTGTTAGAAGATAAGTACTGTGGAGAAAAATAAATCAAGGAACAGGGATAAAGAATGTCTAGTGAGGGTTGAAGGAGGTAGGGAAGAAGACATTCAGAGAAGGTGACATTTGAGTAAAGATTAAAAGTAGGAGAGGGAGTGAGCCATGTGGAGATGGAGGCATATGCATTCTATACAGAGACAATAGTGAGTACAAAGGTCTTGAGGCAGAAAGAAGCCTGAGCTATTTCCAGGATCAGTGAGGAGGCCAGTGTTGCTGTGTGAGGTAGCAACTGAATCAGAGAGGGTAGAGGCGGATCCTAACTGCTGCTTTGGCTTTTATTCTGAGTGAGACAAGGAGTGATTGAAGGTTATGAGCAGAGAAGTTACATTATCTGACTTAAGTTTTAACAAGTTCACTCTCGCTTGTGTGGTAGAATATTTTTAGAGAACTAGTGAGAAGTCTCACAATTAAAATGTTCTAACTTTTAAAAATGTCTTTTGTACAGCTCATATAATTCACTTGTTAAATGTTATGTACTTCCTAGGTGTTGAGTGCATATTTACTTGCCTTTTTACTAAATGTGGCCAAAAAAAAAAAAACCCAGCTGTAAATGTATATTTGTTTCTTCTCCTTTAATGCCACTCAGCTGTTACATAACTGGAAGTGTTTCTTCCCTATTGGGTATAACATTACAACTCTTAATAATAATCCTCAGCTCTGTGGAGGCCTAATCTCAATTGTCTTGCACATAGTCCAGGCTCAACCTTACTGCATATCCTGCTTAGAACGCCTTCCCACACGCCCTTCAAAGCCAGCTCAGTTACCAAATGCCTTCACCAATCGTTTCCATTGCTGTTAACCCATTTTCAAAATCCTCACGCCCAGAATGTGCATCACTGAGTTTTAGCATCTATTTGTGTATTGTATTGTGTTTTTGGACAGTTCGTGTGTTTGCTTTTTCTATCTAACTAGGGACCTTGTGAAAAACTGAGCCCATGTCTTCCACATTGAGCACAGATCTAAGGTCACAACAGATGCTCAATGAGTACCTGATGGTTGGTTGTTTGACCCTTCAACCCATTTCTGTCAATACCAGTAACAGTGAGAGTAGGCTATTCAAGTCAGGTTTTCATTGAAGGAATGTCATTGGGAAGTGCAAGACAATGGGAAGGCAGGTGAGGAAGCCCCTCTAATTTTCACTTCGGATTCAGGGGTGCTGAGATCACTTTTCCCTGTCCTCGGTGCTGAAAAAGTTACTTGCAGAATTCACCTATGCTTTCCTTGCTATTCAGATAAAACAGCAGTTGATTTATGTGTCTCTTCAGCAGCTATAACTTCAGTTTTTGTTTTGCCTTTTTGTTTCTTTGTCACACTGAACTTTTGTTGGTAGCATCCACTGCAAATATGGAAAGTTCTCGCTGAAAAGCATTTTTGGTTATGTACAGTTGATCATTGAACACCATAGGCTTGAACTGCTGGGGCCTACTTATCCGCACATTTTCTTTTTTTAATTTTTTTTTAACGTTTATTTATTTTTGAGACAGAGAGAGACAGAGCATGAACAGGGGAGGGGCAGAGAGAGAGGGAGACACAGAATCTGAAACGGGCTCCAGGCTCTGAGCTGTCAGCACAGAGCCTGACGCGGGGCTCGAACTCACGGATCGCGAGATCGTGACCTGAGCCGAAGTTGGCCTCTTAACCGACTGAGCCATCCAGGCGCCCCTGTTATTTTCTTAATAGTTTTTCTCTATATTTATTGTAAAAATACAGAATGAAACATGTATAACATACAAAATATGTGTTAACTGACTGTTTATGTTGTCAGTAAGGCTTCCAGTCAAGGCTATTAGTAAAGTTTGGAGGGAGTCAAGAGCTAAATGCAGGTTTTTAACTATGCAGGGAGTTGGCGCTTCTAGCTGCCATGTTGTTCAAAGGTCAACTGTATCTTAACAAATTATAAAAATCAGTTGATTGATTGATAGTAGGAAATAATCAAATGTTTCATTTTGGAGTTCATATATGATATTATTGATAGATTCCTAACCATGAAAGACACACATTCAAAAGAGTGAATATACACTACATTTTTATCATTTGTGTGTAAGATCAAAGTATACTAAGGAACAGAATATATTTTCCAATATAGCCCTGGTCAGGTATATATCAATTTGAGTTTCAGTAAAAACACATATTTGATATTTTAACAATAAATGACTCAAATTGGCTTTGTAAATGGATGTCAATTATAAGGCTCAGTTGTAGGGACAATGATTAATAATGCATTTGTCAAGGCTTTTTACATTTTGCTACCAGAAACAACCATTTGTTTTCATTGAAATGTTTCACTTTCATTAAAAACAGGAGTGATTATAAATGAAAATGAATGTACTATTGAATTTCACACCTTACATTGCTTTCTAGTAATAGAAGTTAATTTCTCTCTGAGTTTTCTTTAAATGAGAGGCAATTTCATAGTCTAGATTAAAAAAAAAAAAAACTCCTAATGCAGCTACCTTGACCTGGAGAGCATACTAAAATGAGGCACATCTCTTAAATGGGGATAAAATAACCAAATTTATCCACTGCCTCTATATTCAGACATTTTCTCTATCATTGAAATAGTAAGGGAAAGTAAGTAGGTTGAAAGAAGCCTCATTTAGATCCCATAATGTATGCTTGAAAATGCACATGTGCGCCGTTTTCTTGTTAAAGAGCTAAGATATTTGCTGATAATATAATTCAGCTTCTTAGTCCATTAACATTTAATGTTTCAATTTTGTGAATAAATGTTGGGAGAAATTATTTTTAGATGTCAATGTTTTACTCATAAAATCAATGGCTGATTTCCATGTATTTCTAAGAGGAAGAAAGAATTCTGTTATTCTATATTAACTCAGAAAAAGCTTGTGAAGGATTATTGGTTTTTTAAAAATATTGGCATTTAAATTAATCACTACCATCTTTTTCCATGTTACCTGACTAATGATCTTTGCTGTGTACTTCAGGCATGAACTTCTAGAAGAAGCTCGGAGGAAGGGATTACCTTTTGCTCAGTGGGATGGGCCCACTGTCGTTGCATGGCTGGAGGTAAGAGAATTAAACCAGAAAGCTCTTAAATCAATGACTTCAATTTGATAGTTTTTCTAGAAACAGGTGAAGATGGGTTCCTGAAGTCATAGCTTTCCACTAGCCTGGAGTAGCTTATAGAGGGAATATTTGCTTTATCCAGGGGGCTGTGAGCATTGTTGTGATGCATTCTTGTGATTGTGGCCGAAGGAAGCACCCAGTAGGATAAAAGGAAGTTGCTCTAAATTTCACTGTCTTCATCTTTAGAAGAAGGGAAGGCAGGTATTGAGCCACATTTCTCATGTTGCAAGAAAACATCTGCCCTAGTCTATCAGTCTAGAGTTCTTTCTCATCAGCAGGTTACAAACAAGACCCATCTCTATATTCAACATGTTATCCGTGATATCACTGTCACCTGTTTGCGCAGAGAGCCATTTCTTTGCCTGTAAAATGATTCCTGAACCTAATTCTCTAACACCCAGAGGCCAGCTAGGTTTAGACACTTGGAATTAAGCAAGAGAATACTTATCCCCTTGTTCTCTTCTGGGTCTAAATTGAATGTAATTCAGCATTTTCTATGTAACATGGGGGCCAGGAAAAATAAAAACAGTACCTGAGCACAGTGGAGGCCAGTAGAAGCAGACTGCAACAGTGAAAGAAACGCATTTGACTACAAAGGACCAGTTCATACCACTTACTAGTAGTGTTCACTTGCCTGTTCCATTCAGTCCTCTAATGTGGGCTGCCGGCAGCTACCAGGATATGCCAATGTCGGGGCAAAGAAGAAAATATGCTTTCCTTGCCTGGCAGAGACAATTCGAACCCATTGTTTTAACTGGTTAGGGATTATAAAATCACTCACTTTCATATCATATCCAGGGCTAACAAATAATCAGTGATGAAACGTTAAAACCCTTTTTTAGTTTAAAAAACAGCCTTTAATAGATAGATGTAATAATATGCTTTGTGTTTTTTTTCCTTGGACTGAGTAAAAGAGGCCTATGTCTTGCTTTATTTTATTCTCTCGCAGCAGTCAGGGAATTTTTAGCATATTAATGATCAGAACTGCTTCTTCCAAACATGCCTTTAAAATTACTATACTTTAAAAATCAATTATGAGTCAAAATGCTTAAGAAAACACACCTCGAAATTAATAGCAGCTCTTTGTTCAGTGTCACTCCAGTGAAATGAGCTGCAGTGACAGAGAGTTAGCTCCTATTTTGGCAAATGATGAACAAACCCTTAGATTAAAAAAAGAAAAAAAAAAGATTTACTGACATTAAGGGGCTAGGAAATGACAAGCAGTGAAGTTTTGTGCTAATTAAACCTATCCTGAGCACACAGAAATTGCTCATAATGTGCTTCCTAATGTGACTCAAATTGTAAAATGGAATAAACAAGATGAATGAGTGGGGTGATCCAGTGAATGAGAGCTCTTAACTCTCACCTCCTTTAGCACCTCCTCATGTGCACAGCCTGCTCAGAATGATGAGCAGAAGGAAGTCTGATGCTTCACACACCATTTATCACACCAAAACCTTTTTGAAAGTCTAATTAGAGTTGATACTGATAACAATGTATTGGCAAGCATTTGGGTAATATTACTCAGTATGGGAATAAAAATATCTTTAAAAAGAGGGAGTGAAAAATCGTTAGGGTCCAGCGAAGGTATGTTTAGATCTTTAATTATTTTTGAACAAGTTGAGTTGATGAACTAAGACATTAAGTCCCATCTTCCATCAGTGGTACCTAATGGTACTTAATGGTACCTGTCAAGGTAAGGCCAATTCCTTGTGTCTCACCTGCTGGAAGACAGTATGAACTATTCAGTCATGTGCCCTACTTAGATTCCCCTCTCTCCTGTCTTTTACCTCAGTCACAGCCCAGGCCACAATGACTCAAAGTTGGCTTTTGGTTTGTTTGTTTGTCTCCCCTATAGAAACAAGTAGCCTTCTAATATGACAGAATTTTTTAAATAGAAGGATGTCTAGGTTAGTCCCCTATTACCATGTAACAAATTACACCAAAACTCAGCATTTATTTTCCTCATAGCTTCTGTGGGTCAGGAGTTTGACTTAGCTTGGGGCTTTGATCAAAGTCTTTCACAAGGCTGCATCCAAGGTGTCAGCCAGGGTGGCAGGCATCTTAAGGCTCAACGTGGGGAGAATCCACTTCCAAGCTGACTCCTGTTTTCACAGTCATGATTGGGTTCCTTGCCAGTGGTTGGCTAGAAACATCTGTTCCTTGTCATGTGGGCATCTTCACAGGGCTGTGCACAACATGGCAGCTGGATTCCCCAAGCTAGAGCTCTGAGAGGAGGGAAGTAGAGAGGACTAGCAGGAGTGAAGCCAGAGTCTCTTTGTAACCTAATCTGGAAAGTGGCATCCTGTCCTTTTCATAATCCATTAGACATAAGTCACTGATTTCAGCCCAAACTGAAAAGCAAAGAATTACACAAAGGCAGAAATGTCAGGAGGGGCCCCCGGGTGGCTTAGTTGGTTAAGCGTCCGACTCTTGATTTCGGCTCAGGTCATGATCTCACGGTTCATGGGATCGAGTCCCGTGTGGGGCTCTGCGCTGACAGTGCAGAGCCTGCTTGGGATTCTCTCTCTACCTCTCTCTGTGCTCCTCCCCCCACTGGTGTCCTCTCATTCTCTCTCTCTCTCTCTCAAAATAAAAATAAACATTTTTTTTAAAAACCTTAAAAAGAAAAAGCAATATCAGGAAGAGGAAATCCCAAAGATCCTCTTAGAAGCTGCCTACCAAAACGCCCTGGAAATAATACAGCTGAATTTCTTTGTTTTACAAATGAGGAAAGTAAAACTGAGGCTTAGAGAAGTTACATGACTCACCAGTGACACTGAAGGAATTAGAGCCCAGCCTTCTAGTCCAGAGCTCTTGGCGTTGACTTTGCTGGCTTATACCTTTTCTTCTTTCTCTTACTGTCACTCTTCTTACTCATGTTCTCTCCCTTTTGCTCACTCTATTCACGTCAACAAATAAAATAGTCCAAAAAATCAATATTTTGGACACTTAAAGACCAAGATTTAAACTGCTTACTCGCATGTGCCTTGCTTCTTACTCCTATCTAGTGATGGTGGGGAGGGAGAATGGAGAGAATATTCCATTTTTAAGTGTGTGTAATTCAAATGCTGCAACACAATCCATGTGAGTTGGCATTCACCCAGTGCTTAAGGTGTGTGCAGACACTGTGCTGTGCTCCTTGCACTACTGATTCGATTGTCTTTCAAGAGCATCTTAGCAAAGTTGAAAAATTGGAATCCCTAATTTCTAATGCATTATTCATTTAGTTACTCTCTTTGCCTAAAGTTTTCCAGATGTTTATAGCTTTAGCCTCTTCCTTTAGCATATCATTTTGTTCTCCAAAACTTTGTTCGTGCAGGATATCAAATTAAGTTCACACAACTATCACATGAGAAAGGAGTCTAGCTACATGCAATACAGGCTTCAGTCTCTTTCCAGGGCAGCTGGATTTCTTTGCACTCAGAATTCCGAAGGAGAATTATAAATTGAAACCACGCATTAAACAAACGTAAATTGAGTCTTCACCAAATGCAGCTTGTGGCTGTTCTTGCCCTTAAACCCACGGCGGGGTGGGAGGGGGAAGGGGGGGATGGGCAGGGCTGGATTTGGTGATGTGCACCTATTATGTTTAGCCTAATAATATAAATTAGTTGTTAAATTGGACACCCTGGAGACTCGATTTCAAATCTTCCTTTCCATCACTGCCTAGCTGATATTTTTAAATGGCTTAATGTCTCTGTGGCTCTGTGTCATCTGGGGGAAATAATAATAGCATCTATCTTTTGGGTGTGGGCAACAAAACAGTTCACACATGTAAGGTACTTAGGAAAATGCCTGGCACATAAGACACTAAACTGTGTAACTATTGGAATAACCTGTGTATGTATTTGTTCCCTATCCAACAGCTCTGGTTGGGAATGCCCGCTTGGTATGTAGCAGCCTGCCGAGCCAACGTGAAAAGTGGTGCCATCATGTCTGCTTTATCAGACACTGAGATCCAGAGAGAAATTGGAATCAGCAATCCCCTGCATCGCTTAAAGCTGCGATTAGCAATCCAGGAGATGGTTTCCCTAACGAGTCCTTCAGCTCCTCCGACATCCCGAACTGTGAGTCAAGCTGAGCTCCTTCCCTCTCCCAGTGCTGGGCAAGTAGCAGCCTCTCTAAGTCCACAGAGCGAGACTGTGGCAGCACACATTTCAATGTCAGCATGAATTATTCTGAAGAGATTTCACTTGCTCTTCATTAACCTTGCTGCTACTTTTAATAGGTTTTCAAGTGAGGAGCTGTGATTCCTATCAGACTTGAAGGCTGAAACCAAGATAGGCTTTTGAGCTAGTCTCTAACGGAAGTCTAGGTTTTTCTCCCAGGCAAGAAGACCCCAATTTTACTCTTTTTTTAGGATGTTCCCCTTTTTAAAAAAATGCAGCATCCATTATCTCAGGAGATGAGTTGTTGGCGTTAGTGCTTTTGGAAGATACAGTGCTTAGCTTAAGCAGTTTCCATAATTATGAAAGTATGCACATATTTGATATTTTATAGATACCAAGTGGAATACCTTCCTTCAAATTCTATTTGTTTCTCATTTATAAATCCCTATTCTTCTGTAATTTTGTTCCTATCCTAATGTTAGGAAAGAACAAAATGTCTAAAAAATGCATGCCAAATGACAAATTCATATAGGAAGAACAACTCCAAATAATATTCATTCTTTCTTTAGTCCATTTCTGAATTATATCTTTTGCTCATAAAGGATATGATTTCTGATGTTAATTGAATTTCTCTGATCTCAAAGAAATTGGGAAATTTGTTATTCTTAATGCAGAATAATAAAATATGGAAGAATGAGGGAAATTTGAGTAGCAAGTAAGAGAAAAGTGGTATTACTTTATTGCAATTTTCAGGAACAAAACTAACTTGAGTTTACTTTTTCTATGTGGTCTTAAACAGCTTTAAAGAACTAGCTTCATGTTTATTGTATCTATCTTTACATTCCTTCCCAGTATTCCAGATTCTAATGCCAGAAATACCAGGTCAACTTTAAAAAGGTTTTATCTTTCTTGTATAATTCCATTTTAACTTCTTTCTAAATAAGATGTAGAAAAAAATCTATAATTTAACAAACTCTTATGTATAACATTATTTTTAAATGTAAATAATGTTGTATACTATAGCTAAAATACTACTCAAGCTAAAAAATAATACAGAATATGTTTAAAATAAAAGCTGAGTAGGCCATTAAAATAGGTATTGTAAGCTGAATTCAGATCTGATAGAGTTTCCTGCATAATTTCCAACTGACAGAGAAGCATCACAACTGGCTTATATCAGCACTCTTTTCCTAAGAGCAAATGCATGCATAATTGCTAAAAATGCAAAATTAAGAACATTTAAAGTCACAATTTCAAGATGAAAAGTAGCATATGCTTTATATTTTTATTTAGCATCCTAATCCATTTATTTCTTACTGGAAAATAGAATAATTGAGCACTGTTTTTCTAAAAATGTCTAAGTGAACTTAAGAAATTTAAATCACAAACTATTAAAAGTAAAAGCATATTCAGTTGTTTAAAGGACAGTCAAATGTGAAGAGAATTTATGAGACTTCACGATCTAGCCTCAACTTCACCTCCTCAGGTCAGGACCCCAGCGACACAGAACTAATTTCACTTTGCTAAACTTTTATGCTCTTGGGTAATTATGAGCTTTTGTAGTTGCTCTGTGCTGTGACTGAAACATTTTCCCCACTCCAGGATCACTGTCCTTCCCCAACTCATCCTTCATTGAATGAATCTTGAATGTTTTTCCTTGAGAAATCTTTCACCAGACGCCAAAATCTGGTTCGCTTCCCTTCCTGAATTACTACTCTGTATGCTTACAAAAGCCATTTTATAATTTTCTCTTCTTAATTTATCCTGTGCTAAGCCAACCAAAGATATTATCAGTTTTCCATAGTCCCCAAGCCTTAATTCAGTGCCTGGAAAATTGTAGAGAGTGGTCAGTAAAATTCATCTTAAAAGTGGTGATTGTATAAGTTAAGTCGCTCTACCAACCATTACAGAGGATATAAAATATCCGGACTTCAGAAAGGATAACTATGGTAAAGAAGGTGAGCCTTGTTCACCACTAGATTAAGTAGGAGATGACACAGTTTAATTCCTCAGTGTTAGGTAGAAGCAAAGAGTTGTGGAATTCCAAAGAAGGGGAAACCATTTCTGGCCTAATAAGGCTTCAAAGAGGATTTAACATTTCAAAGACAGGTAATATATTATTAATTATTAAAAATTATTTTTTTCAATATTCACTTTTGGACAGATTAACTTTCAGTCTATTTTCTTCATCTGTTTATATGAAATATGAATTATTTCATATCATATTTTATATTTTTCTTTTTAAAACTTCATAATATAGCATGAGCATTTTCCTCACTTTATTAAATATGCAATTGTAATATCATGTTTAATTGCTGAATAACTGCTTCATGGAAATACCATAACGTATTTAACCAAATCCCTAATGTTGGACATCTTGCCTATTTGACAATTTTCATTGTTATTCACAATACCGTAGTGGATACACATGAAGTTATATTGTTGCATAAACTCATTACTTCCATAGCAATATTTGTATGTAGGGTTTTTATATTCTTATTACTTTTCAATCTTAATTGTTAAATTATATTGGGTAGCCTTTTCTTCATCCTTTCATCAGCATTATCATGCTGCTTAAATTTATATTTTTAAAAATGCTACTACTGTTAAAATTTTTTCATATGCTTATTGATTTGGTATTTAAATGAATTACCTGTTAGTAATCTCTTCAATTTTTCTAAAGAATTCTAGGACTATACCTCTTTTTATTAATGTGTAAAAATTCTTTATTCAGAGAGGGTATATATGCCCTTTACCAAATATTAATACAAATTACATAAAAGATAAGTTGTATCTATTTGTCTTAAAAATGATCTACTGAGTAGGTTTTCTTCCTTTTACTCCACCTATATGGAAGTATTTATTCATTTTCTAATATATTTTAAATACTATTTGCTTTGCAAAAAAGGTGATTATAAATTGTTATTAATGAATACACCATATAAAGTGAAGACTAAAGTCATCACATAAAATTATATATTAGGATTCACATTTTAAAAACATAAAAAAGCAGGTTGTCTTTTTTTTTTTTTTTTTTTTTTTTTTTTTTTTTTTTTAAAGGAAATGGTATTATGTCTCCCAGAATACTGTGACTAGTTCAGGTCATACAGGTGTTTCTGTGTGTTTAGGTTTGGGTTTGAGTTCCTAATTTAGGTGTATCTTGCTTATTTCCTCAAATTCTTAAGAGAAAAAGACAAATTACTTCACTTGGGTTTTTTTTTTTTTAATTTTCTACCCAAAAAGAAATTCTAATTCTGCCTCCTTTCTTGTCTACATGAAATGGGCTGAACCACCAAAAGGAAAATCTAATGTTCACATTTATTATTTTCTTGGGCCAACCCTAATCTTCCAGTTTTCTGTTTCTTCTTCTGAGCTGCTGTTACAATGAAAGGTCTCTTACCTCATAGAATAGGGATGGAGATATCAGTCCAATGAAATATTTGGTTATAGAGGGATGTCATAAAGAATAAGTACATGCTTTAAATACTTTATCTTTGATAAAATATGTAAATATTCAGGCACTTGCAAATTTAGATGAAACACTTAGGACTTTTCTTTGAGTACAATTCCAGTGCCTGGAGTTTGACATTATCTTTCTTTTATAACTTCATCTATAAAACATCTTCAATTTTTCTAGTTTGAGTGTCTTTTTAATGTGATAACTTTATTTTACTTAAAAAGCTCTGTTGGAGTGCAAGATTCTCCTGAACATTTACAGTTTTTTCCCCCAGACTGATTAAGTTGTATCTCGTTGATAGCAATGTGTTAAGGTTTGCTTATACTGGTCTTTCCAAATAATTCAACTTAGTGTTCATACATGAGCCAAATTCATTTTTGTTTTATGTAGTATATATTTCAGTTGCCTAATTAAAAAATAGTGCAGTAGAAATAAATAGGTTTGGGAACATAGAATTCAGCAAATTTGAGCAGGAATGTAAGGCATAAAATAGGAATCAGTCGGTATAATGTACAGGAGAAACAGCATTTATTAAATGAAAGACTTACTTGAGTGGAGATTGCGTAACAAAATTGCTAATGAAACTGTAGTATTTTTCTAAAGAAATTGTGGTAATATCCGACATCATTGGATGTCTAAGTGTCACATGCTGTTTACATGTAATAACTCATATAAGCCCAACCCTATGAGATAAGTACTTTTATCACATCTGTTTTATAGATGGGAAGAACTGATATACAGAGAGGTTAAGTGAATTGTCTAAGGTCAAGCTGCTGTGTGGTTTACCCAAGTTTATGCTGCTAATAATAAGTACACACTCCTTCCTGCACTCTGTTTTCTTCTCTTTTACAGCAGTCTTCCAGCCTGCTTTGGTTCCTCCTTTCTTTATTAGTAACCTCATAATAAAGTGAGGGATCAGTGTGCAAATACTGGTCTTATTATAATGAGAAGTATTTATCTTCTCATACTGAGAAACATAAATTCAGATAAGGGAGACATGTGAATCTAGGCCATTTTGGTTGTAAAAAGTAAATTTCAAGCTTATTTACTTTGTAACTCAATTATAAAGTAGAAAAATACTGCAAAATGACCTAGGAAGTAACAGAAGTTACTACCAGGCAGGTAAGGTTTCGGATCATTCTGAGGTCTGACTGCTTTACTTATTTTATATTTCTGACGGCAAGAGAATTAATTATTTTCCCACAATGAATTTTCATGGTTTATCCTTTAAACTCATTTTAATGTTTATTTTCTTGTCGTAAATCTCTCCTGAATGATTTAATTAGGTAAGTGCTTTAATACTGAACATCCTTTAGGAATTTTTCTCCCAGTTCTCATTTGATAATACCATATCCATATTCTACTCTAGTTGGACAAAGGTGAGGCAATCGAGGCATGTCAAACACAAAACTGAGGGAGGCACGCACTGTCGGGTATGACCTTGCATTTGCACTGCCAGGAAAGTGAGAGCATCCTTGAATGGAGTTCCCTTGGCATCCCATCCACCTTATCCTAGTCTCAGGCCTGTATCAGAATTTGCAATATCACAGCTTAAACTTTTCAATATTTTTTTTTTCTAGGATGAAGTATATTTTTAGCCCACTTACCAGATGTTGAATCTAAAATTTAGAGAGGTTAGGGAAAGTCCTAGGGTAGTTATTGAAAAGTGGCATAGTAGACCTCAAGCCTCTTGATTATAATTTAGTAAATTTTCAGATAGTTGAAATTTTAGAAATCACCTTTTAGATGCAGACTATGAACCACACACACACACACACACACACACACACACACACACACAAATGACTACAGATTTGCATTCTCCAGCTAAGATATTAGGGGCTACAGCATGGACTGCCAAGGAATGAGTAATTCTCAACGGTTCTCAGAGAGCCACACCCAAATTACGTGATCCGTGTCCTTTCTGCTTTTCCAAGCTATTTTTTCACACTCTTTATCTTTGGCCCCCAACACAGTATCCTCTGTCCTTTGGCTGCTCAAAGTCTCCCACTCCAGCTCTTATCTAAGATGCACTCTTCACTGAAATGCTTCTGCTCAGAAGCACCACTTTATGACTCACCCAGGTGAAAGCTTCATACCTTTAACTGGTGCTGAAGAGAAAGGAATCTGAATACTTGGCCCTCTGTGCATGGGCTTGCTTGTAAAATCGACTTGTTGAAACCTACACTAATGTCTAAATGTTTGGGTTGTGCAGAAGCTATTTTGTGAGTTCCTTCACCAGATTCTGGAGCAGGCAGTGCGCCTCACAAGTAAAACTTGAAGATCAAAGGAGAACGACTAACATACAACTTAGGAAAGGTTGCCAACCATACTTTAGAAGATTGCCCTGCATATATACTTACTTTGCATGTAAAGCTAAAGATAAAACCAATGGCTTCCAGCATCTTGCCTATTCCACAATATGATGATAAACTGGTAAATATACACTTTAAGATAAACCGTGAAAGAGATTATACAGGTATGAATTCCAGTATGCGATAATACTGGTCAAGTTTCTTGTAGAAGGAGGAAGCTCTTAATTATTTGGATTCACAGTTAAGATAGAAGCTACAGAAATCATTGTAAAAGGAGACTGGCTTAAATGAATTTCCTCTCAGGTACTTACCACCTGAGAGGAAATTCATTTAAAATAGCTCATTTTGAACAAACAGCACAGCCACTCAGGCAAAGCACTGTGGTCACTGGGTATAAAGGGCATGTGACACATGAATATGACACATGAGTTTTTAGTACAGTACACTCCTCACACACAAAGTTAATAAAAGCTATTTATTCCAAGTGATTTAATGATTCATACACTCATGTGCCTCTTTGTTTATAATGAGCACCATTCCCAAAAGCTGGGAGTAGAGGGGAGGGGCTCTTAGTAACATGGATGACCTCTGTATTCTAAATACAGTTTATAGGTGTGCATAGTTTTATCTTATAGGGGAAAAATTCAGATATACTCTAAATTCCAAAATGGTAGGAAAGTGAGAATTTTTTTTACCATACAAATTTTGCACATATGATGACTATCCTCTGGGATTTTTTTTAAGCTCTACACCCAATGTGGGGCACTACTTAACTCCCCTTTGTTACTCAACTATATATATAAATGCTCATTCTATATTACTCATTACTCATATATATAATTCTCTAATGAAATTTCTCTTTTATTGATTTATACTCATCAATTTAGTTTATATGTAATTATTTTTCAAATTATACTGAATAACATAATTTGTAAGAGAAGGAAAATTAACATGTATACTATATGTGTTGGTAGAAGAGGCCAGAGTGATTTATGGTGGAGGCTTATGTTGGTGCATCAACTTAGCTACTTCAGATTCTAGACCCCTTCCAAAACAAGTAGTAAGCAATGCATAGAATATTAATTCCATTGTAACTATAGGACGGACATACTTGCAGAAGCTTGCTATGTTCATAAGGATTTCCCAGTGAAATAGTGGAATTTAATAGGAAGTGGTTCCCAGGGGCCATTATCATCAACAAAATGTCTGATCTGTATGTTACTGACTGGACTTTAGTTTAGAAATTGTACATCATTCAGTGTCTAGAACAAGTATCATGGGTTATCTTATTTAGAAAGCAAATGAGACTTTATAAAAGAACAGTGCCTGCTGGAGGGAATTTTATATATATTATATATCATGTTCTTCTCTGTAATCGTATAGCACACTGCTGAGAAATTAGGAAGCCTAGCTTTTTTAATTTCTAACAATATTTAGCAAGGTTGAAAAAATACCCTTTATTAAATTAAAAATAGCATTTCACTTCTTTTTTCTCTATAAGAATATAAGAACACAACATACCTACTGAATTGTAAAAGGAAGAAATCATTTGGGAAAAGCTGATATTACTTTCCAGACACGTGATGATAGTGCTTTCAGCTTTGTGTTGACAACAAATTTTCTTTTTTCAAGGACATTGAAGAATCAAACCTTTGTGAATGAAATATTGGTAATCACATAGCAAAGTACCTGTGCCTTTGTTTTCTGAAGAAAAAACAAATACGTTCCTCCACAGATCAAATGTAATCAGTTCTTCATGATTGAAAAAAAAAAAAATGGATCCAATAGCTACATACCTTTGCAATGCAAATTGTGATTTAGCCTTTTTCCGGATTAATAATTGCAGGAGTATCATCTTAAATCTATCCCACATGAGCTTCACAGCATGCCTCTTTCTATCTAATCTTTTTTAAGTAGAAGAAAAAGGGAGCTCTGAGCAAACCAGCAATGCTGTCTCTCCTGTGCATGCCATAGAGGCAAGAGCATGTCGTGTTGCTGTTAACTTACAGTCCTGCTGCCTTTCTTCTTTACCACTGCTTCCCTCCTGTGGACCCCGCCGCTTCCCCTGAACCGCCTCACCAGCCTTCAGGCAACGTTTGGGTGACCCATGAAGAAATGGAAAATCTTGCCGCTCCAGCGAAAACGGTTAGTCTTACGCCTTTGTTGAACACGAAGAAACGTTATTTTGCTGCTGTTTGGGTGAAAAACTATCTTGTTTGTGGCAGATCAGAGTAATGGGTATGTTGACACAGTGATATGCATGAAAACCAACATTTTTCATGAAGGTTTTATTTTACTGCACTTGGATATTTTAAAAAAAAGGACTTTAATGTTTATTTTTGAGAGAGAGAGAGACAGAGACAGAGTGTGAGTGGGGGAGGGGCAGAGAAAGAAGGAGACAAGGAATCTAAAGCAGGCTCCAGGCTCTGAGCTGTCAGCACAGAGCCCGACGGCGGGGCTCGAACTCACCGACCGTGAGATCATGACCTGAGCCGAAGTTGGTCACTCAACCAGCTGAGCCACCCAGGCACCCCAAGAATTTAAAAACACTTTTTTATCCATTTTGTGATATTGGGAATTTTTTAGTAACAGATATCACTTAGTATTGGACATATTCACACGTAGTACATGTTACCCTACCCAATTAAAAGAGTGTGAGTGAGGGAGCCACAGAGAGACGGGGAAAGAGAAAACCCCAAGCAGGCTCTGCACTGTCAGCACAGAGCCAGATACAGGGCTTAATCTCACAAACCATGAGCCAAAATCAAGAGTTGGATGCTTACCTGACTGAGCCACCCAGGTGCCCCTGAATACTCATTTTTAATGGAATAATTTAGTTTCTTGTACTTTACCAATACAGAGCTTAAACCAGCCCCTCCCCAAAATGTTCTGTTCATTTGATTTTCAAATACAGGCTTGAAAAGTTTTTTTTTGTGACTGTCAGCTTTTAACACTATAATGTTATATTAGTCATTTTTCATTTAAAGTAACAAAGTTAAGTATGTCATATATTTTATTCTTAGCAGCTTCTTTTAATTTAATGTCCTTTTGGTTTTATCCATATTCAAAAAATCAACTATCTACTTTATGAAGGGTAAAAATGACAATGTTTCCGAATTACATTTCTAGTTCAATTTGTTGTGTTTGGTTTTATTGTTGTTTAATTTTGTTTGTTGTTGACTGTTGCTGAAATCTACTGGATTACCACAAAGCTTTGTTAGAGGGAAAAAGTTACTTTTTGCACATGAATTTATATAAGATTTCTTTATTTTAAATGTATGTGTGTATATGTGTATGTATATATGCATATATGTGTATTGTATATTTGTATACATATAATCAGAAATTTTTATTATAGCTCATTACATTTGGAAAACTACACACTTTTAAGAATGAAAAGTTTTGGAATCACCAGATCAAATGTACCATGAAAACCCCATATGTCATATATGTGTATATTTAACTGGAATTAACTAGAAACCATGTAGTTGTCCTTGTAGTCGCCCTTGAACTGCTAAACTGATTGCTGTGGATTTGAATAAGGATCCATGTATTTATCTATTTATGTCATAATTAACATTTTCAATAACAAGTTTGCTTCTGCTAGATAACTTTTACTGTCTTCATTTGAGATTAATTTATATTTATCTGCTTTATTAATCATTTTCTGCTGCTAACACAGAAAGAATCTGAGGAAGGAAGCTGGGCCCAGGTAGGAAATTCAAATGCTTTAAATACCATTTTGTACGCTATGAGGATATAAAGTAAGAAACTGTAGTATGTCCTAATATTATAAACCTTCACTTAGCTTAGGATTAGGCTAATAGGTATATTTGAATTTATTATGTGTAATACTATATATGCCTTCTTAAAATCACCATATTTTGCAAAGAAAATGATTATCATTTCATATGTGGCCTCTTTTGGAAAGGGAAATTATCTCTCTCTTTTCCAAAGAATGAACTATAATTTAAATGTCTCTGAAATCGCCCCTGAATATATTTAATCAGGAGTCATTCAAGTTGGATATATAAAAGGGGGGAGGCATTAAAAAAAAACCTTATTAAACATCTGCTTTAAATTATATCGGAAAGTGTGGGAGGACTGGGGTCGGAGGAACATGTGTCAGCATTGTGACTGCAAGTCAGAACTGACGTCCGTTAATTGAGACGGCGCTATGACGCAAGCATATGGACTTTGAACAAATCTGTACGTTTGCAAGGGAGCTGAACATTTGTCAGCATTTCCACGTGACGCACAACTGAAAAGAATTAATGCGTGGAATAGCGCATGTGATTCAGACCTCTGGCTGGAAGGAGAATTTTGGCAGTATTGATTGCTAGGACCTGTATTTAAACATTCCATAAATTAGGGTGGTATTTGGTTTTGATTTTGCTTCGAATTTCATCATTTTCAAGAATACACAAAAGAAAGGGAGCACCTAAGATTTTCAGTAGAAATACATGTTATAATCGCAATTGTGATTTTGTTGTACCATAAAAAACTGAATCAAAGACATAGTAAAATTAATAGATAGTAGTAGTCCTTTTTAAAAATAGGTTTAGAGAGGATGGTTGACTTTAGTTTTTATTTTGGCTGTTATGAGCAATGTTTGGTTAGATGACTTTGTTCCTATTGTTATATTAAAGAATTAGATTATTTGTCTTTATTTTTTTATCATATCCTGCCTCTAAAATACAGAACCTATACTGATTGATTTCTAAAAAGAGACTGATTCTTTCCAATGATCTTTCTGGAATACTGGCTGCATGCTTCACCAGATAACAACATGGTCCACCCAAAGCTTCAGCATTCTGTCTCTCTAGCCTTGTTGCTCCTTTCTTTATTTGTTTAGCGAGGTTTCTGTTTTCACATTGAGATTTGCCATTATACCATAACAATGGTAGTAGTATCCTCTAAGAGAAGGAAATGGTGGAGTATTAGCTGACAGATAAAAATAAATTAAATAAATCTATCTATAAAAGAATTTTTAAGCTAAGCATTTATATTATACCCTTAATTCGATTTTTTAATTTAAAAATGCATGTTTGTATAGAATGTAATTTCTCTTGAGAATATAAAGTGAACACAGTTATTTTCTAGAGGTGGGTGCCATGATACATGTACCCAGAGTTCCATTTGATACCAAATTAAATCAAATACTTAGAGTCTAAGTATTATTTTTGCTTTTTTCCTATATATCATAGTAATTAAATGTCAGTTATAATAATATACAGTATCCTCCTATTACCATCTCATTTTTTTGGCTAAGAAACTTGACTGCTATAAAACAATTCTAGTGTCCGGTTTTTCTACAGACTCTGGCATATGGAGATATGAACCACGAGTGGATTGGAAACGAATGGCTTCCCAGCCTGGGGTTACCTCAATACAGAAGTTATTTTATGGAATGCTTGGTAGATGCAAGAATGTTAGATCACCTAACAAAAAAAGATCTCCGTGTCCATTTAAAAATGGTGGATAGTTTCCATCGGTAGGTTTTTTTTTCAAACAGTAATTAAAATGAAACAAATAATGTATACCTTACTAAAACAAAAAGAGATGTCTAGGAAATAGAGAATGTGTGCTATTCAAGACATCTGTGTACATATACTTGGCAAAATATTTTCATGCAGCAAATTGCAGGGACTATCTAATGTAGAGCTGTGTACGTACTGTGAGCCCAAAGTTTATGGAACTGCACGTATACACAATTCTCATTCAACATAAATCTTTTTTTTCTTTAAGAAATTCCATGTTTGTGATTTGTATCTATGTATGTTTTTATATTAGAAAATTATTTAATAAGAATTTTAAAATTAAGTCAGTTGCAACTCTATTAATATATGCGGTTACCAATTATATAATTTAGATATATACTAGAAAAAATTTGAGAAGGAATTCTCTGAAGACAAATTCTTTTGTTCTCATAAGAAGCTTTTAATATATTTTTGCTTCTTTGTGTATTAATTCTCAGAAAAAAATACTGAATGGATTGTGAGACAGCTATAAGCACACAGATGAATAAAATGCAACCTCTCTTTTCAGGTAGTTTACCATCTAGGGGGGTAAAAAGAAGCTTGTTATAATATCATGTCATAAATGTCATGCTGATATCTTTGTAGGTTATGTGAAAAATTGTCAGCTGGATTATGATTCTTTTTTGTTTCAATTTTTCATTTAAATTCCAGTTAGTTAACATATAGTGTAATATTAGTTTCAGGAGTAGAATGTAGTGATTCATCACTTACGTTTAACACCCAGTGCTCATCACAAGTAACCTCCTTAATGTCCATCTCCCATATAGCCCATCCCTACCCAACTCCCTTCCAGCAATCTTCAGTTTGTTCTCTGTAGTTAAGAGTTTGTTTTATGGTTTCATAGACAGATTATTATGATGGTAAATTAATACATATAAATCTAGGTTATTTGGCTTATAAAACCCTATTTGATTACATCCTATCCAACATTTAATTAGTGACTGAAATAAAAAAGTTATAAATATCAGATATGTTGATGACATAAAGATAGGATAAAGAGATAACAATCGGACCTCTTTGATTAAACTTATGGAGATGTTTTGAATCTTAACACAGTTGTTGATACTGTTGGGTTAAATTTAGTAGAGATAAATATGGTATAAATTTAAATACCATTAAAATGCTAGATGGGGAATCCATGATTTAAAAGTAGATCAAGTGAAAAAAGATACAATATATAGATGGCACTAAAATCTCAGTTTTGTTTAATGGATTCACAGGGCATATTTAGATTGTGGTTTTTGGCAGATACAATAAAAGTCTACCACGTGGTGAAATGACAAGAAACTGTATTAATTTATGGGCATTAAATTGTTACTGATTGGTAGAATCACGGTGGAAAAGTTGCAAAAATTGAAGACATTTAACTTGAATAAGGGTAGACTTTATATGTTTTCCCATGTTTTGATATTATTACATGTTGGAAGAATAATATTTGCTCTGTTGAACATGTACTTTTCTAGTTCAGATGTGTAGGTAGTAGGGTGAATGATTTCTGTCCAAAAGAGAGCTCTGTATAACTCTCATTTGCCATATAGTATACACATTGTTAGGTAGTGAGTTCCTTGTCACTGAACATTTAGGCCCTCAAATTTTGTGTGGTTGTATTAGATATTTGAATACTAAAATCTTTGATGGCATATTTGTGCCTATTTTCCATTCTTCACTAGATTGACTTTTTTTAAATCTATGGGGTTTTTTAAAGCTTATTTATTTATTTTGAGTTGGGGAGGAGAGGCAGAGAGAGAGGGAGAGAGAATCCCAAGCAGGCTCCACACTGTCAGCACAGAACCTCATGCAGGGCTCAAACTCAGGAACTGTGAGATCACTGTCTGAGCCGAAATCAAAAGTCAGATGCTTAACTGACTGAGCCACCCAGGCATCCCACTAGATTGACTTTTAATTGCTTTACATTATGGTAAAAATGATTATTACAGTGGTCAAATTTTTTAATGTGTATTTATTTTTGAGAGAGAGAGAAAGCACACAACGAATGCAAGTGGGAGAGGGACAGAGAGAGGGAGACAGACTTGGAAGTTTCTCTGCATTGATAATAGAGAGCCCAGTGTGGGGCTCCAGCTCACAAACTGTGAGATTGTGAGTGAGTCAAAGTCGGACACTTAACCGACTGAGCCACTCCGACGCACCAAGTTTTTTTTTTAATAAAAATTACTGAAACAGCAGGGTTCTTTTTGTTCTGGGAAATATACAAGCTTCATCTCTGCACCATGCCTAATTCAGACTTAAAGCAGGTAGTACTGACTACACAGTGCATCCCGCTATCTTTATGGCCCAGTTTTTCATTTCACAGATGCTAAAGTAATAATAATATGTATCATCTTTCTGGTACTGTTTTATATTACCTATAAAAACTTGGCAGAAATTAGCCAAAAGCCATTGGTTTAACCTCAAGCTGCCTAATGTCTATGACTGTTATTACATTAGTATTTTCTGTTTTTCCGCTGAATTAGTTTGCTGGGGCTACCATAACAAAATACCACAGACTGGGTAGCGTAAACCACAGAAATGTATTTTCTCACAGTTCTGGAATCTAGAGATCCAAGACAAAGGCGTCAGCACAGTTGGTTTCTTCTTGGCTTGCAAATGGCTGCCTTCTTGTTGCATCCTTAACATGGTGTTTCCTCTGTGTGTGCACCCCTGATTTCCCTGCATGTCCAACTTTCCTCTTCTTGTGAAAACACCCACCAGTGAGACTGGAATAATACCCACCCTATGGGCTTTATTTTAACTTAATTACCTTTTTAAAAACACTATCTTCAAATATGTTCACGTTTGAAATACTGGGGATTAAGGCTTGGACATTTGAATTTGGGGGAACATAATTCAGCCCATAACACTTGGAATTTTTTTCCAGTTTCCTCCGATTCTGAAATATTTTAACTCAACATTGTCCTTATTAAAATGAAAGGCTTAGAAATGCATACAGTGCTTCGGCATTACCTGGCCAGTGTGTATGTCTAAATTTGTGTGTATTTCTAAACCAGAAATCACTAATAAGCCTAGATAGTTTTCTTTTCCTATTGCACTCTGTCACATCTTCTGTATCTAATATCACCGTGTCTTCCCCTTTCTTCTCTCTGAGCATCTCTAGTTTCTGGATTTGCTTCATATGTTCATGGCAGTTGTCCTTTTTCTGCCCTTTATTTTCACAGCATTGACCCCTTAAGTGGTTGCCCTGTTCCTAGGTTTACCTATTTTCTCTCTCTCTCTGATTTTGCTACCAGGTTAGCCTTCTTAAACTGAAATGATCATTTTGGTCTAAGGAAGACTAACCTGATAGCAAATGTTTTTATGATCATCTCTTTCCCTGTGAAACCATTCAGTGCTTCTCAATCACCTGCATGTGTTCCGCGCTTTCGCTGAATGCAAGCTTTCCTTAATGTTACCCCATTATGTTACCACGTATATATGCCCCCATATTCCTCCTTACTTCCTACCATGGATTCCCAACACTGTACAGTATGTCTCACTATCACCACACATTTAAAATTTCATTGGCAACCCTGTGTTCATGGTGCTCCATTTTCTTTATTGACTCTTTCTCTCCCACCTGATCGTTTAAGGACAGTCAGTTTTCTGTTCTTCCACGATATCCTTTCCACAGGGAGTTTCATGTCTGGTGACCTATTTCTTGCACATACTTCTGTATCACTGAGAGGTGGTGGCTATTCATTTTGGTATGTGGTTCTCTATCTTATTTTAACTTATTCATGTTTTGATATTATTTTTCTCAGCAGCTTAAGAAGAAAGTATTCATTTCTCATAAATTACTTCCTATTTTCATGTTAGCGACTTTAATTTTTTTCCAAATGAGTGAAATGTTCATTTGTCAGCAAATAATGTCAAGATGGCCTGATGGAAGACAAAGACATATGGATGAACAACATAATCCATAATCATTTTAAGGAGGGTGGTTTTCTTATTTTGAAATTAATATTTTTACTCTTCAGAAACACTGTGTGCTTAGAATAACTGCAGTTTATTTCCCTCCAGTACTAAAGGATTTAATTACAAACGTAATTTATTATTCTGTTGCCCTGAGAAGTAGTGCAAAATGTTAACTATGCTTAATCAAAGAACATGCATTATCTGCTGAGTAAATTCAATTTGTTTTCTCTTCTTTTTTAAAAAAAATAACAGAACAAGTTTACAATATGGAATTATGTGTTTAAAGAGGTTAAATTATGACAGAAAAGAACTAGAAAGAAGACGAGAAGCAAGCCAACATGAAATAAAGGGTAATATCTCTTTCTTTCATAGCAAATACCTTTTTGGGGGGAGAGGGGATAGCTTTCATTTTATGAACCTAAAATGCTTTATATGTTAACAGTGGTCACTAGGTAGCATAAGGATTTGGCTGGAATAGTGTCATCATTATTTCTTTTTCATTAGTTTTATGATTGAAACACTGAAAGGGTATCATCATTTTATAAGATGAATATCCCATCTAAGACATATTGTTGATTTTTTAAATTGACATTTATTCCTCTGAACCTATTAATTATACATTCTGTTTGTCCTAAAGATGCCTCCATGCAGATATTTTTGTCAAACTTTTAATAGAACATTCTCATATGATTCAGAGAAACATGGTATATAATTTATTTATAGTAGTTCATCTTTGGTGTGTATCATTTGAATTTTATTGCAGTGCTTAGAAATGTTATTTTTGTACAATAGTTACAGAGATATTATGTAGGGGTTTTATATAGAAGTTACATAGAGATTCCCACCTATAAATGAAACTAGTCCATTGATAATTTTAGCTATAATTATTAAGTCAAATAAATGGTTAGAAGCATCCCTAATTGCTGCAACTATTATGTGCACAAAAATGTTTGACTTGAATAAGAAAAGGCATTCCCTATTAAAGATTAGAACACCACCATATTAATAATTAATCCTCTAAATGTTGAGAAATACCTTAATATACAGAGGAAAGAATTGTTTAAAAGAACAACACGTTAGATCCTGTACTTATTAGAGACCACATTACTTTTATTATTGTTGATGAAAGAAAATATAATTGTTGGGTATAAGTATCTATGGGTCTTTTTTGGTGAAAATCATCAGTCCACTTATGTCCATTTATATTTTTTAAAGGAAAAAATTCTCATTAAGGGAAACATAACCAAAAGTTTTTGTGGGAAATTTTGGATACAAGCAAAATAAACTATCAGTTGTATTACCATTTACTGTTACCAGGAGTTGACATGTGGAAGCATTTCATCAGATTGAATAGGGGTTTAAACATTAATTGTTTACAGTTAGCCATGAGTCTCTGTTTTCATCTTCACTTCCTCTGGGGCCCAATTTAGATATGAAAATAGTATGTACCCCATGTTATGTTACCCTTCCCCTTAAGCTTAGCATTGTTTTATTCTTTAAGATTACCTTAGACTTCTATCATTTTCATTTGTGATAAACAATGTCAGAAATTACTTTTATCTTTGGCAGTTTTTGGACAGCACATTAATTCTAGTACAATGGGCTTCAATGCATGCAAAGGTGATTGGTTGATATATTTTTCTATATATGGTTCATTGGAGACTAGATAGACACACAATGGATTTCTTGTAACAGTTCATTTGACTCATTACTTAGGAGCAAGAAAGTGTTTTTCCATTATCAAAATTGAGTTGTTAGATTTCACTTTATTTTGGGGCCCAGGAAATTGCAAGTTGTTTTCAGTACATTGTCATTCAGTTGAACTGAAATTTGGGAACTAATTGATCACACAAAGACCCTTGAAGGAAGTCCATGCTTGACTTAACAAAAGATGTTTCAGTTTTAGCACACATATTTTACCCATGAGATACCACTTCTAGTTTTCTGTCTGAAGTGTTTTTTTTCCAAGTAGATTTTATTATGCTTGGTTTCACCACATAGAATACTTCATATATAGATAGATATAAAAGAGAAGGAGGAATTACCCATTTGGCCCTACACCAAATATTATATTAGTATTTGGCAGTTGCTGGTTAGAGCACTGCCCTAAGAAAAGCTACTGTGATTCACTTGATTATACACAGACAGCTCCATATGATGGGTGGTTGTGAGTGAGATCATAAATAACCCCTGTTTCCCGTAACTGATCCAGTGACATTTACAGGAATAACTCTTAACTGTGACCAGGGGTCTCTGTTATTATCTGAAGTGTTAATTAACCTTGACCTTAATAAACAGCTTTCTGAAGTGAGGGGACCGAGTGAATATCAACAATGTACTAACATTTCATTTGTTGCTAGGAAACAGTCAACACTGATCTCTAGCCATTTATTGTTTAGGTCAAGAGGATCCTTACAAAGCTTTAAAGTCAGGGCATAAATTTTGCTTGAAAACAGATTTATAGAAAGGGATCTGATTTACAAAATGAAAAAGAAAGGTACGTTGCTGTTCTGAAAAAGAAAAGCTTAGATTGGTGCCGTATTTACCTTGAATTATAACTCAGTTGAATTATTTTCTACATATTATTTTGTAAATATATTTTGTAAATCTGAGGACTCTTAATTACAGGTGTGGCAATGACATTTTTAACGAAGATATATTTGCAGAAATATGATAACTACAAATGTCTTAGACTATCAAAATATAAACTCATCTCTAGAAAAGAGCAAACACTTCTTACTTGCAGATCCACTTAATGCAAGGAAAACTGGACAGTTTTGTTATTTTTTGAGGAAATTGTTGTCACATTTGTTTTTTAAAAAAAGTGTTGCACTTAGTGAAAGCAGTGGGAGAACTGATGCTGTCAGTTCCTGCCCAACTTTTGAAGTGCAAGTTTAGTATAACCAACAGTAGGAACTAATCAGTTGTTATCAACAGAAGTTGATTGATGTAACCAAAATATAATACTCACCAATTTATATCCCATTTTCTGAGATTTCACACTGCAATAGAACAAGCCAAAGAAAACTCAGAGGAAAGTATATACTTTAGGAATGACCCAGGGAGACCTAGTGAATATATATATATATATATATATAATATATTATAATATGATATATAATATAATACAGTATAATATATAATATAGTATAATATATAAAATGTGTGTAATATAAAATATACTAAAGATCATTAAGGAAGTCTTGCATTGATGAAGAAAGGCGAAAAAGAGCCAAAAGTCTGAGGGAGACATTAAACATCCTACTCCCTTAAGAAATTAATTCTGCTTTGACTGGAACAGGAAATAGTAATAAGACTGTAGGAAGAGGATATTGTGGGTCTTTCTTCACATGTTCTTCATTAACTAAAAAAATATAAGGATTAGAAAAGATATATAGAAAATCCAAGTAATCTAATGATATGCCATATAATTCAAATTAATATGTGAATTTAGAAGGGTCTGTATATAAAAATTCATTATGGCTAAAAAGAAATGAGCTGTCTAACTGTGAAAAGGCATGGAGTGACTTAGCGTGTACTACTAACTGAAAGAAAAGTACTATGTGATTATACTGTAAGAATCATACCACATGATTCCAACTCTGTGGCATTCTGAATGAAGTAAAACTATGGACACAGGAGAAAGATCAGTGGTTGCCTGCAGTTCGTGGAGAGGGAGAGATAAATAAATGATGCACAGGGGATTTTTAGGGCAACTATTTTTAGTAAAACTATTCTGTATGGTGAACCTTAATGTTAACTATGGACTTTGTGTCAATGCAGGTTGTCTATCATAACAAATGTAGCACTCGAGTGAGGGATTTTATAGTCAGGGAGGCTGTGCATCTATGGGGCAGGGGATATATGGGAACACTGTACTTCCTGCTCAATTTTGCTGTGAACTTAAAAATACTCTTTAAGGAGTGCCTGGGTGGCTCAGTCAGTAGAGCATCAATTGCACTCTTGATTTGGGCTCGGTTCATGATCTCACAATTTGTTAGATCGAGCCCCACATCAGGCTCTGTGGTGACAGCATGGAGCCTGCTTGGGATTCTCTCTCTCCCTCTCTTGCTGCCCTTCCCCTGATCACGTATGTGCACATGTGCTCTCTCGTGCCCACGTGATCTCTCAAAATAAATAAACCTTAAAAAAATACTCTTTAAAAATAAAGGCTAGGGGCGCCTGGGTGGCTCAGTCGGTTAAGCGTCCGACTTCGGCTCGGGTCACGATCTCGCGGTCTGTGAGTTCGGGCCCCGCGTCGGGCTCTGGGCTGACGGCTCGGAGCCTGGAGCCTGTTTCCGATTCTGTGTCTCCCTCTCTCTCTGACCCTTCCCCGTTCATGCTCTGTCTCTCTGTCTCGAAAATAAATAAACGTTAAAAATAAATAAATAAATGCTATTTTACAGTTTTAATAGAAAAAGCAACTGTATTTCCCAAAGTATTCTTTATACATTTTCTGGAAAACAACAGAAATGTATTGTCTCACAGTTCTGGAGGCTAGATTAAGGTGTTAGCAGGATTCATTTCTTTTAAGGGCTGTGAGGAAGAATCAGTTCCATGCCACTGCCTTACTTTCTGGTGGTTTTCTGTCAGTCTTGATGTTCCTTATCAAGGAACACATCACCCTGATCTCTGCCTTGCTCTTTGTGGTGTTTTCCTTGTGTGCATATCTTATTTCCAAATTTCCCATTTTTAGAAGGAAACCATCATATTGGATTGGGGCCCACCCTAAAAATCTCTTTTTAATACTTCAATAAGAACCATATCTCTAAGTAGGTCACATTCTGAGGTACAGGGGATTAGGACTTAAACATATGAATTTTGAGAGGACACAATTCAACCCGTAACAATAAGAAGTTTACCATAATGGCTAAAAAAGCAAATAAAACAATTGAGAAATACAGAGTATTGGTAAAGATGCAGATTTGTATACATTGCTACTGGGGTTTTAATTGTGAGAATGGAATTTATTTAGCATATCTATGAATATTTAAAGCAGCACTATCCTTAATAACCCACGATGGAATCTAGCCAAATGTCCATCAACAGTAGAATGATGAATTGTGGTATAATTATACAATGGAATACTATATAACAATGAAAATAAGATACTTCCATTTCTATAGCAGGGATAAATCTCATATTGAGTGAAAGATGTAGACACAAAAGTACATATTGTACGATTTTATTTATAAAAAGCTAAAAAGTCGGGGCGCCTGGGTGGCGCAGTCGGTTAAGCATCTGACTTCAGCCAGGTCACGATCTCGCGGTCCGTGAGTTCGAGCCCCGTGTCAGGCTCTCGGCTTATGGCTCAGAGCCTGGAGCCTGTTTCCGATTCTGTGTCTTCCTCTCTCTCTGCCCCTCCCCCGTTCATGCTCTGTCTCTCTCTGTCCCAAAAATAAATAAACGTTGAAAAAAAAAAAATTAAAAAAAAAAAAAGCTAAAAAATCAAAACTAAAAAGCAAAACTAATCTGCGGTGAGAATAGTTAGAATATTGGTTACTGTTGGTGTGAGGTCAGTGACTGAGAATATGACATAAGGGGTCTCCATTGGGCTGAGTTATCACTATATTGCTTTAATATTAGGCACAAGAAAACCTAACTTGATTATAAATGAATGTATTAGAACAAATTAGTAATGTTTTTGAAAAACGTAAACAATATATACTCTCTGCTACCGCCAAAAAAACAAAAACAAAAACAACTACTACCTTGATTTTTACAGACTTTTATAATTTAAATGGGGGGACAGGAACATGATAAACGGTTGAAGTTGAAGAATATATCCCAGAGTATTCTTTATTTTTTTTTCTGGAAAAGCTATACATTTCTCTCAGAAAGAAAAAAAAATTAACAGGAAAACTTAAATTTTAGCATAAAATTAAATTCTGGGTTTTATTTCCCTTTTTACAGGATTAGAAAAAAAGTTATCATTTTTTTTTTCACATTTCCTTCTTAGTTCTTTAACATTCTTTCCTTTCTGTGGAACATTGTCGTCTTCTGTCTATTTTGCTGATTTTTATGTAGAATTCTGTCAACTCATAATGAGAACAATGGAAAAAATATAAATGATAGAATATACTATGACACTCCAGACCAAAAGTCTGAAAAAGGCACATATGACATTTTTCTCTAAGGATTTTAGTTTTAGAAAATAAAATTGCAAGTGTTTTATATCTCAATACAATGCTACTTTCAACCTAAAAGGAAAAACAACTTGTGACTTGACCAAGTGCTTGATTTTTGCATCAGCATGTGATTGAAACATAATGAATTGACAAAATAGTGGGGTAAATCTTGGGCTATGGAATCCCTGTTCTATCTTACTCTTCTGTTCTTTGATTTATTGCTTCAGGTTAAAAAAAAAGGCTCTTCTAGTCTATATTCAGTATTTAATTAGTGGTTAAAAAACAATGATGAAAAACCATATTAGCTTCTCATTTTTCTGTCTTTACTAAAGAGCTATATATCAAGGCAGGAATAAGAAATGCTCCTGTCTGGTAATAAAAAAACATTAAGCTTGGGACAGATCCCTGGAGCTCCACAACCGCACAGGAAACACCGTGAGACATTGTATTCCATGTGCTGGAAGTGCTTTTCAGTGATAACAAACACGTTTCAAAAGACAACTTTTTTTCTAGGCTAAGAGTAGGACAGGTTAGCTCTGAGAATGAAATGCAACACAAGGGGGCCAGGTGCATTGGGGAGTGGATAAAGAAATCAGCATAAATGCTGACTTGGCCAGACACTTGTGGCTTATTTCAGCCGGTAGTTTTGTTTATTGTGCGAAATACTGTCGCCTAAAACGATGCACCTCTTTTCCTAGATGTGTTGGTGTGGAGCAACGATCGAGTGATTCGCTGGATACAAGCAATTGGACTTCGAGAATATGCAAATAATATTCTTGAGAGTGGTGTGCACGGCTCACTGATAGCCTTGGATGAGAACTTTGACTACAGCAGCTTAGCTTTGTTACTACAGATTCCAACACAGAACACCCAGGCAAGCCCCTTTCCGCTGTAGTTGCACTGTGCCCTAGTTTATAGAGCGATAAAGTACACTTGTAGGGAGAAAAAAAAAAAAAGTTGGCTGTGTATTCATGAGCCCTAATGAGAGTTAGCTCAGCTCAACCTTTGAAATATGGCACTGGGGCTTTAATTTGAAGCCACTGGATTTCTAGCCAAAACAAAATCATAAAATTAATCAGGAAAAGGGATTTAGAGGTTATGTAGTCCAGCCTTCCACCTGAATGCCAGATTTCCCAAAACAATATCCCTGGCAGATGGCTTTCAGTCTCTCTCTCTCTGAGAGGCGTTCATTTCTATTTACATGTCTGAATTAGACAGACATTTAACACTGAGTATGCCACTGGTTCCCCAACCTGGATAATTATTCAAATCGGCCGAGTTTCTTAAAAATTTAAAATAAAACCTACAAGCTACAGCACAGGCCTAAGAAATCAGATATCCAGAGATTGGGTATAGGAATCCAATTTATCTAAAGTTTCCCCAAATAATGAGCATTGGCCAGGTTTGAGAACGATCTCTATAGACTTGACAAAAATTTGGCAGTCTAACTTCATTTTTCATTTTTTTCATTTATTGCAAAGTTTATATAAAATATTCAGTTGGATTAAAGTAATGAAGTGCCCCTTGACCTCAGACATGTATGTGAGGCTGTCTCTCCACTGTCCACAGACTGACTATAAAGAAAATGGCCCTACCTTGTATTTATAACTAAAACTTGCAATGGCTTTTAGACACGGAGGACTAAAATCTTAAGACGCTTTAAATAAAACAGGATTGTAATGTTTTCTCAGATGAATATAATCTCTATGATATTTAAAGTAAACTGTGACCTCAGTGATAGTAACTGTAGTTTGATGTCAACAGGCAAGGCAGATTCTTGAAAGGGAATACAATAACCTCCTGGCTCTGGGAACTGAACGGCGGCTGGATGAAGTAAGTCCTTATCTGTCATTCACAAGGGATCTAAGAGTACAAATAAAACAACTTTCAAGGAATAGTGCTCAAAAATCAATCAGAAGCTTGTTCTCTGGATAGAATCTAGAATTTTCCCCAGTATTGTGCCTAATTATTAAATTTTATTAGTCATTTGGTTTTGGAAAAACCTTTATGCATTCATAAATATTATTATATCAGCAGTTAGAAACACCTAGAAGTAATTTAAAAACAGATTCTTATGAGTTGTGATGGCAAAATTATGATGAGTGACCTTTTTTAAAAAAGCAGTGATAACATTAATCCTGATAAACTCAGCTTTTAAATAATTGTGTGCTGACTTCCTAAATATCAGTGTATCCTACAATAAATTTTAGGATATTACAATGAAAAGAAAACTTGCTTTCGGTAAATGGGAAGCTTTCCATTATTTTAGAAAGTGACATTGAGTTTTCCCTGAAAACATATGAGTAACATTTTAACAGTCATAGGATTTAAAAGTTACATGAAGTGTAAGAATCCCAAACATAATATATGCATGTTTAAATTATTTGGAAAATAGTAAACATATGAGTAGACTCCTGAGACAAAGGAATACAAGGAACATTAGCAAACTCTGTGCATTGATAGATGCTGTGGATTTTATTAGTCCTTCTGAGTTTTTTACAGGGTTTTTCTGGAAGAAGTAGAAAGAAAACCCAAGTATGAAATGGAAAACGCAGAGAGGCATAATTCTGTGTTGCAAAATGCAGGCGTTTCTTGACTAGAAAGAAAAGCTGATTAAAATAATTTTGTGAATGAACCCAGCAAATCCTAAAATGAGGCAATTATTTCACATTCAAATGAGCAAGGAAGATGATCTTGGATTTATAAAATCCAAGCTTTCCTTTGTAGAGGAGGTTATAGACAGATTAGCTCTAGTCTTGACCTCAGCTAACTTCCTATAAATCCATACTCCTGTCCAAGCAGAATAATGATTGATATTTTTAAAACAGTTAATACTTAACTGATTTTAATTTTATAAGTTGTTTGATAATCTTTTTAATCCTTATTCTTAATTGTTGAATCAAAAAGATAATCTACATAAGCCCTACATGCTTTTGAATGCAATTATTCTTCTTGTTTAAAAGTTGCAAAAGGAGGGGCACCTGGGTGGCTCAGTCGGTTGAGCATCTGATTTTGGCTCAGGTCATGATCTCATGGTTCATGGGGTCAAACCCCACGTCGGGCTCTGTGCTGACAGCTCAGAGCCTGGAGCCTGCATGGAGTTCTGTATCTCCCTCTCTGTCTGCCCCTCCCCTTCCTGCTCTCCCCTGTCTGTCTCTCTCAAAAATAAATAAACAATAAAAAAAAATTTTTAAGTTGCAAAAGGAATGTTAATAAAAATTATTGGGGTGCCTGGGTGGCTCAGTCGGTTGAACGTCCGACTTCAGCTCAGGTCATGATCTCACCACTAGTGAGTTCAAGCCCCGCATCGGGCTCTGTCCGGACAGCTCACAGCCTGGAGCCTGCTTTGGATTCTGTGTCCTGCTCTCTCTCTGTGCCCCTCCTTTGCTCATGCGCTCTCTCTCTCTCTCTCTCTCTCTCTCTCAAGAATAAATAAAAACATTAAAAAAATTTTTTAAGAAAATAAAATAATTAAAGAACCATCCTATTGCTACATTTTAAAATGTGGATTGACTCAAAGGAGCCAGGTAAAGACTCAAGCATATATGAGTTAGTGTTGCTTTCTGAAAGTAATAAAAAGCCAAAAGGTCTAAATGGTATGTGACTATCTGCCTTTAAAATATGCTGCATCTTTTTCTTATTTATTAAATAAAGAACACAGTACATGATTTTATCATTCCAACCCTGTAGTCTCTTTTGTCCTAGTTTTTTGTTTGTTTGTTTTTTTTGTTTGTTTGTTTTTGTTTTTTGAGTGTGAGCAAAAGTAGCTAAACAACTTACCCAGAACCTGTGCTTGTTTCTGGGGCTGATTACATTCAGCCCCCACTGAAAGAATTTGAGAAGTGCTCCTGTGCTTCTACAGACTTTCACTTCAAGTTAGTGGGTATCCTTTATCCTCACCTCATGGAAACTTTTTCCTCTGATGTTGCTGATAGGTCCCATTAACTTTCTGAGGGAAGACAGTGCTAAAAGAGCAAAAGAGATCATGATTTAAATCCTCCACTTGCTTATTTTTGAGTCCCTAACCCTTACATTGCAGGAGTTGTATATCCCTACACTGTAATATAGTGTTTTGTAGAACTGAAGAGTGTTTATGTTTATGCAACAACTCTTCCAAAATTCTGATTTCCAAGAAATCAGAGGCCACAACTGTGAACTTCTGCTTCTTTTCTCTATTTATAAACATTTGGAGGCCTAGGACAATGTAGAACCTGGCAGTGGAGAAAAGGAGTAGCAGACATCTCTTAAATTGTAAAATGGCTCCCTAATCTAAACAAAATTTAGATTTGGATGCTATGGATTCTAGTAGAACAATGGATATATATAATTTCATAGGTGATTTCATTTTTTCCAAATTGACTCTGAATGTCAACTAAATTAGCAGTCCATGATGAAGAATACCTTATAGTTTTACTTATTTAGAACAATGATAATTTGAGCTAAGTATTGACCTGTTATTCTATATGCCAAAATGAAGTCACCTGAGCTAATAAAGGTAACCACACACACTGAGATTAACTTCAGGGAATAGATAACCATTCCCTACATGAAAAACATAGTGACATAAGAAGATAAGATCTACGTAGAATGATTAATATTTTCCTTAGAATTTGACACAAAGAGTAACTTGTGTTTAATAAAGAATAATACTTGCTAAACAGTAGATTACATATCACTCCTTGTGAATATAGAGAAAGTTCATTGTATCTAAGCAGATGCTTTGTGTATGCGCAGAGAGGGAAGAGATTATATCATTATGATATAACAGAATCAGCAGCCAGAAATACATTTGTAAAACAGCAACCAGAATTATATTATGCTTTTAGTGGTGTCTAAAGAGCTAAAAGGATGGTTTCCAAGCTCCACAGGTTTTTCAATAAACCACAAGTTAATTCATTATCAGCTGAAATCTAACAAATGACAAATTTGGTTTCTTACACAAACTATAGGTTATTTATCTGATATGATCCAGGCTGTATCAAATATAGCTCTCCCATATGTCTCTTGTTTACTTAAAAGCAAAACTCATGAAATAGTTATTTAAGTTTGTGAGTCAAACACGGTTTGTGTAACACTTAGTGAACTAAATATATAATCTCATACTATAAAATCAGTTGGCATAAAGTGTGACAAAGAAGAGATAATATTGGGGTTTTACTTTAGGTTTTCAAAACGATTTACTTTTACAGATAGCAAACCTTAGATTTGGAGTCAGAGGAAAATTTTTATGAAAACATTTCTGCTGCAAATCTCCTGTGTTATTGTTTTGGAATCAGTAGAACTCTCCAAATAAAACATAATATTCCATAGGTGTGCTTTACAGACAGACTGTAGGTATCAGTGTTGCATGTTTCTAAGTGCACAGTTTTAAGGACCTGGACTAGTTTACTTGTTATTACATCCAGTTATAATTCTGTACTGGCAGAGTGATGATAAGAATTTCAGGCGTGGGTCAACATGGAGAAGACAGTTTCCTCCCCGTGAAGTACACGGAATCAGCATGATGCCTGGGTCCTCAGAAACGTTACCAGCTGGATTTAGGTTAACCACAACATCTGGGCAGTCGAGGAAAATGACAACGGATGGTACAGTAGTTTTGCATTTCTGCTTATAAAGTAAAAAAAAAAACAAAAAAAACAAAAACATGTTACCTGTTTAGCAAATGCTAGTATCGTTCTCTGACTTTGCATAGCTTTCTGGAAATTCTTAAGTTGGTTTGCTCTGCTTGAAGTTTACTTTGCTTTCATCAAAAACAGACTCTTGCAAACGGCTGATGCATGAACCCATGGCACCTCATTCACATTATTAAACATAATTTATAAAATCCTGGAAAGGACAGTTTTGGCTAATGTCCACATCTAGGAAGAACAATACTCATCTGCATGATTTGTGTTTCTTTACTCTTCTATTCTCAAAGCAAAGAATTTGTTTAGTTAGAAGATGAATTCGGACTAAAAGGTCCTTAGTAAATGGAAATTAACTCCACAGTCACCCTACATGTTTGAATATTGCAAGTTTTGTATTTCATCTTAGAAACCCAGATTCATCAGATATTTTCACCTCTGACCAAGGCAGAAGGCCTTAAATAAACAAGCACAACTATGAGAAGAGAATTAAACAAACACAAAGCCAATAGTAATTTCCCAATTAGTATTATTTCCTTCTGTGGACATTAGACTTGTGTTATATACCTCACAAAGGAAAACAGCCATTCTGAAGGAGAGACCACTTTGAAATAGCAGTCACAAAATTATTTCTATTTGGTAGACATTAAAAGAAAAAAAAAAATAGCCCCACTCTCTTTATTAAGACAATTGCCTAGAACCATTATTTCTTTTCAGGGTTGTAGCTATCATGGCCCTTAAAATTAGTTCCAGTATAACCCGTGATCTTTGTTCTACATGTCTTCTAACTTGTTAATATCATGGAACATATTTAAAAATTCAGGAGGAATTTATTGCAATTAAAATTAGTGAAGAAGCTCTTCAACACTTGGAGGGGGAAAAATCCTCTATCCTGAATTCTCTGGGAGCAATCTTTGCTTCAAAAACAGAAACACCATGGAGAGCTGCTTTTGTTACAGGCTCCATCTAAGGAGGAATACACAGCAACTCGAAAGTACAGTCGAATCACAATGGAATAAGTTTTCATTAGTAACTTGGTCTAGCGGGAAGGGATAGGAGTGGCTGATGTCTGAGAGAAAGAAGGTCTACTAGTATGTTCAGGATCCCTTTACGCAGGGGATAATCTTTCTCATCTGAGATTTTTGTACTCAATCATCCAAGTTCCTCTAAAGCCCTTTTCTCCGTTTGCAGTTGCCTCATCAAGACTGCAGAGGTTAGACAACTCCACTGTTCGCACATACTCATGTTGACAAGCCACTCAAAGGAGGCAGCACTGACTTGCTGTGAGTAGCTTTCCTCGGCTGACAAAAAAACAAACCACCCAAAAATGGAACCGACATAGAGTAGTAAATCCACACGATACTCTCTGGTATGGCCTGGCAGTACAGAGGGGAGATGACCCTTTCGGACTGCTAGAGGGTGGAAGAGGAGTCTTAATATCGTAGCTCTTAATCTCATTTTTCTGATCACCATCTGTCTGCTCTGATTTAAGGTCCATCTGTTGGAGGCCTATCACTATCTTATTACACATCAGCAGGTCGCAGCCCCAGCCACCGCCATCTACTTTTCAGTAGCATTTTATATGGACGCACATAGCGTTTTATTGAAGAGAATTCGGCACTCACAGAGTAACACACTTTTAAGTGAATAATATAGGGAAAGTTAAAGCAAGCAGAAAGTGATTCTAGTAGGTACACGGAATCAACTAGCAGCAGAAGCAGGTAAATGATGTAGAGGTAGTTTATTATTAGAAGCCAAAGTATGACTGATAATTTTGAATTTCAGTGTATTGTTTTTCATCACTGATTTATATTTGCTGAAAACAAATATGAGCTTTAAGGATCTGGGGCTCACAGCATAGGAACAAAGTGAAATTATAAGAATGGCAAATAGGACTAAAACCTTGATATATAATTATAAGATATTAGGCATTTGTATTTAGAGAAATACTGGCTGATGGGATCTACTTCCAAGTCCATACAAAAATGGAGTTTTATTGAAAAACGGTTGTAGTAAACCTGTGGTTTCCTAGGCTGTACATGTCAAATGCTCATGAAACTTGTTTAACCTAAAACTGAGTTTTACCAAAATATTTACCATTTATAATAAATTAATATTTTGAAAAAGACTTTTTAGAGCAATATTTAGAACCCAGTGCGTGCACAGGGACAGGGAGAAGAAGCAGTTACAGGCAGAGGAACAGCTCATCTTGTGTTGTTTATTGATCGCCTTGAATGAAAGCTCCATGCAATTTCTTGTTGGTCTTTGGGGCCTACTATGGGAGCTGGTGTGCTGCCTTATTTGGGTCACTGTTTGAAGCTGCTGATAAAATAAAAAGCTTTAAGAGATTTAATTTCAGAATGTAAAACCCTAACATTAAAAATTTAATTATGGTATACAATTTGGCATCTAATTAGGCATGATCTAAAGTATATAATGATTTGGCTAAATAAGAGGCTTTCCAAAATACTGTTTGTAATAGCTTCTACACATAACATGATAATTTCCCCAGGAACTGAATACTTCACTAATTTACAAATGACTAATATGTTGAATAGGGCTCGCTTCTTAGTTTTTGACTGATGGGTAGAATTACTCTTTAGCTATTTGCAGTTTGTATTTTGTGCATGGCATTCTATAGTTCATATTTCCTAATTTTTACCATTAAATAAGATAAAGGTATTTGTTTACAATAACCCAATCAAGGACAGCCAGTTTCTGTTTTGACGAAACATTAACACTTTTATAATTAAAATAATTCAGAACATATTATTTATCATTTCATTTGTGTCAGAAATAGAAATTGTGAGCTTTTTCTAAGTATATTATGACAGGAAGAATCAGTGATGCCACATCACTGATCCAGACACTGATCCAGATCCTTTGAAATATGGTGTTTTTGTCACAACAAAGATGTCTTTTCAGGGGCGCCTGGGTGGCTCAGTCGGTTGAGCGTCCAACTCTTGTTTTTGGCTCAGGTCGTGATCTCGTTTGTCAGTTAGAGCCCCACTTTGGGCTCGGAGCTGACAGCACAGAGCCTGCTTGGGATTCTCTCTCTCCCTCTCAGCTTGCCCTTCCCCCTGCCCAATTTCAAAAA